TGGGGCCTGTAAGCCCTGGATTTCAGGCTTTCGGCCTGAAATTCAGGCTTTTGGCCTGAAGGACATCGGGCCTGCAAAATGGCCCGCGTGTGCACGCGCAGCATGTAAGAAAGGAGAGAGCTACGGGAGCAAGTAGTTGTAACTTGTAACCCATAACTGCTGGACAGCATACCTGACTTCGGATCCAGAACATGACGATATATTGCTGGCCTCCTCCACTCTCACACGAAATTTGCCGAATGTCTCTTGAGATGTTGGACCGTCGCAGATGCACTGCTGGGGTCCTTCGGGAAAAAGACTATTCAACAAGGAATAAGTGGGCTCAATTTTATTTTTTTTCTGTACTCCTCTGTCGTTCTCCTCCTCTCTTCTTGTCTTCCTCCTCCTCGTCTCCTCCCCCTACTCCTCCTCCTTTTTGGGTTATTTTTTTTTTATTTGGTCCATTTCTCGATTAATGCGTGTCATCTTGGCGCAGGGGCCATGCTTATCTTGCCCTTGGGACATTCAATAAAATTGGAAGGAAAAGATCAGCATGGTCCCTACACATAGATGACACACTTTAACTGAGAAGTAGGAGTAGTGGCAGTATTTTTTTTTATTTATTTATTTTTTCCGGACAGTATAGGGGATCCGGACCAGGATCCGGACCAGGGGTCCGGACTGGTCCGGAAATTCCGGAATATTCTGGTTTCCCGGAAGTCTGGATGGGCCCGGGGGGTCCGGGGTCCGGGGTCCGGAATCGGTCCGGGGTCCGGGGTCCGGAATCGGTCCGGGGTCCGTTCCGGCGGTAGCTATGGTTTCCGAGAATATGGAAATCTCCCTAAATAGAATGGAGATTCGATTTTCAAAAAAGAATAAATCCACATTCCGAGAATATGCCCAGAGCAAAAAATGTAATGCTAATATCAGGAATTTTCGACTAAAATGCGAATATCAGAAATTTTCAGATAAACCGAAATGCTACTATCAGAATTTTTCAGATATTTGAAATGTGAGAGAAAAGATTTGCAGAGACTTAACGGGGTCCTACTTGATGCGATCAATCAGACAATCTTCCAACTATCAATCAATCAATAACTCAAGTAGGCTCCTTGATTGGGCAGATCCTCTTCTTGAGAGGTCTGCTCCAATACCAAACTGTTGGATACCGTAATGGTGCAAACCAGAACAAGGACCTCTCTCTCTCTCATAGAACAAAATAGCGCAGTGGGATGCTAGGATACCAATGATCAACCCAATCAATGTTGCAATGCAGACCAAACACACATCATCATCATCACCACAAGGTGTGAAGGGGCCTGGCTCTCACACAGGAAGAATGTGCCAACCCCAAACATCCACAGATGTAGAGGAGGGGAATTAGACGAAGATGAGGGAGAAGATGGGAATGTCGTCGCACAAGTGTCACTGGTATCGACCCCAAATAATCCCTCGTCAATGTCTCAATCCCAAAGTCGAGTCTGTATCCCAATG